CAGAGGGTGAGACGCCCCCCTCCAAGGTGGACCCACGGGCTCGGCGCCCTCCAATCTGGGAACTAGGTGCCCCCTCCCCCCTCTCCCCAAAGCTCTCCTCCTGCGCAGCTTGGGGTGTCCCGACCCTGCGGGAGGACTCCCCCGGCTGGGGAGGCAAAGGCCCCAGACCAGAGGGCAGGGTGTAGTCCCCACCTCTGTCCCGCGGACGCAGCCCTCCAGCAGGGCCCGCTTTGGGTACCGGCCCACGCTCCCGGCCCAGTGCTCGGGGCTGCTGCCTTCCCAGCCTGAGCAAGTCGCTCACCAATGGGCCTGCCTCCGGTGCCAGGCCAGAGGCTGGGCACACTCTCGGGGGTCTCTGGTTCATTCCAGCCCCGGGGTACCCTTGAGGGAGATCCCCTCAACCTCAGCCCTGGGCTGCTCCCTGGAAACAAGGCTCCCCAGCAGGCTCTGGACAACCCTGCAAGGCACTTTGCATCTCTGAACGCGTCTCATCTGTGAATTGGGGAGCAAGAGCCGCTCCCATGCAGTGTTGCCAGGAAGATTAAGTGGGTGATGCTTAGCTGGCTCCTGTACACATTCCTGACAAGAGAACGAAGTCGCTGGGCTAGGGGTCAGAGGAGGAAGGCGTTTTGCTGGAAAACTCGGTGAGGCTGGCCTTGAACCATGAGTGGCTAACAGCGGCTGGCCCTGACCCAGCACCTGCAAAACCCGTGCTTCCCCTGCCACAGGGCCTTGAATCCTTCCAACATCCCTGAGTTACTGTTATTACTCCCATTTCACAGATGAGGAAACTGAGGCTCGGAGAGGTCCATGGCTTGCCCAAAGCCCCTCAGCCAGTAAGTGGTGGACCCGGGATTCGCACTTGAACCTGAGACGCTGTATTGACCGTGGCCTTCTCGAGAGCAGGATTGTGACGGGGCTGACCAGGGGGACCGCGGTCCAGGCTGAGGGCACTGCTCAGGCAAAGGTGGGAAAGTGGGGGGTGCGCCTGGGAACCGGAGTGCTCTAGAATGTCTGAAGGAAAGAGTAGTGAGGGAGGAGGCTCGGCCCCGAGAGGGCCTGGGACGCCAGAGGCGTCAGGACTGATGTGGGGGCGACCCTGGGATTCTGGACTCCTGTCTTTTGCTCAGATGGTCTCTTGAGTCCAAAGACAGCCCCCCCTTCCCTTCTGTCGAGCCTCAGTTTCTAGATCTGTACCGGGTGAGAGCCCCGGGGCCTCCCTGATTGGCTGGGAGGGCCCGCCCGGGAGAAACGTGAAACCCTGCGGGGGAGGCCCCCCACTCCCCTACCCCCACCCCGGGGAGCGGACGGAACGGAAAGAGTCCCGGGCTGGGTGGGCGGGGCCAGCGCCCAGCCAATCAGGAGCGGCGTGTGGGGGGAGCCTTCTTCGGCCCGAGGTTCTCGGGCTATTCCTGGTGGCGGTGTAGGAGTAAACAGCCGCGAGGTCTGGGGGCGGAGATGGTGGCGCGAGCTGGGGGGCCCCTGGAAGGGAGGACGGAGCTGGGGAGCCCCGGGCCCCAGCTTCTCCCTCTGCGCTCTCCCAACCTTAGTGCCCTCTGGGCTTGAATTGGCTGGAGACGGCTGGACACAAGTGCTTGTTTCCTTTTGACAGGTGGGGAAATTGAAATCTGGAGAGGAGCTGGGTTCTGCGAGGAGAGGATGGGTGTCGGTTGGGGTGCTATGAGCAGACCTGAGCTGGTCCCCTCACAGCGGAGGCCACTGGGGCTGGGGCAGGAAGGAAGGGCTGCCCGGGGGTGCCTCGTCCCCTGAGGACCCCACACACCCTCTGAGGGTGGGGCTGTGATTATAGCCATTTGACAGATGAGTCCGTCTCCTTAACCCCTAAGGTATTACTCGTTAATTAATGAAATCATTCGGCCATCTTCCTGCACCCATCTTCAGGGCTCTGGAGGCACAGCAGAGAAGGTGAGTGAAGACCTGTGAGAGCTCTCAGCCTACTGGGGAGGTGACAGGTAGGGGAAGTTCCTGGCCCACTGCAGGCTTGGAGGATGAGTGGGTTGTGAGCAAGGTGCAGCAGGGTGTTGCAGACAGTTTATGCAAGATCTGGAAGGGTGCAGGTGCAGAGGAGTTTAGGGACCTCCAAGGAGTGCTGCTTTATTCCAAGGCCATAGGGACCTGAAGCAGGGTTCAGAGTAGGGGTGCGAATGGGGTTCCTGCCGGGTGGGGCCAGGCCTCCCAGCATGGGAGCCAACTGCCTAGGAGAGCCAGAGTATGGGGAGCAGAGTGGAAGAGAGCAAGGGGCATGGAGAGAGGCAGGGTTCTGCCACCATGTGGCCCTGTGACCTCAAGCAGTTTTCTGCCTTTTTTGGGCCTTAGTTAGTGTCTCTGTCTGCAAAATGGATACAGCCCTGAGCCTTGAAGTCATGGGTAGGTAGGAGAGCTGGCAGGGGTGGGAAGGTGTAGCCTTTGACCAACTGGACCTGTGGGAGGGCACCCAGGCCATAACCCTTTCTGTGACTTGCAGGTGTGAGCACACATCCCTGCCCCCTGGGTCACATGCAGGACGCTGGCCACTGTCACTCAGCAGACGCCGGAGAGAGATGAGTAGCAACAAAGTAAGTGCTCCTCTATTTCTTGTCCCCATCTCAGCCTCTTACTTTCCTCAGCGAGATGGGCTTCTGCAGACCTGTCTCAGACCCAAGCTACCACAAGTCTCTTTCCTTTGCCAAGATGCGGCTGATGCCAGGGAGGCCCTGGTTTGAGCCCTGCTGTACCACTGATCTGTGTGGCTTTGGGCAAGCTCCTGCCTCTCTGGGCCCAGGTCCAAGAAGGTGATTTGGAATGCTGTGCAGGGGGTGGGGGTGGGGAGGTAGAGGTGAGTGGGCATCTGGAGGATGGAGCAGAGGTCAGCCAAAGATGACAGAATGTTGTGAGCATCATTCTGGGGTGTCAGGATTCCCCACCATCCATTCATTCTTGCTTTCCTGAGCACCTACTATATGTCTGGTCCTGCGCACCCCCTTCCTAGAATCCACTGCAGCACAGCCTTGGCAGAGCTTGAGGGTTGGAAGCAGGGTGATGTGGGTGTATCAGTTTGGGTCCAGTTGGCAGAGAGAAACCACATAATTTGAACAGGGAAAGTTTAATGTAAAGAGTTACTAACTATAATCGGGCATTGGAGTAATGAGAGATTGGAATTCTAAGGAATACAGGAATAGCAGGTTTAAAGAGCTGCTACCAGCCCCAGGGCTGAGATCCAGAATTTTCTGGGGAGGACACAGCTATGGTCCACTGGATGGCAAAGGACACAGTGTGATGCGATACTGGTGTGAGTTGTCATAAATCCACCCTCTAGGCTACAGGGAAGGCTGTTCACAGGAGATAACTCCTGGGGGGCACCCAACCTCCATATAAAACTCCAGGCATGGAAGCTGATGTTCTCTGGATGTCATAGGTGGTTGAGTGTACTGCTTGAGCTCAACTCTGGAGGAGTTCTGATCCCAGCAGGATTCGGAGGCACTCTGTTCTGAAACTGCCTGGGGGTGGGTATGGAGGAATCTGCTGAGTGCAGCTGGCTGCTAGCCCTTGGGCGTTGGAGATGAGTAGGTGCTTAAGGAGCCTGTGCACCAGAGTCAGAAGTAAATGCCTTTCTTTCTGCTGTTTCTCTCCAGTGCCCTCTACTGACAAAGCTTAATAGGCAGTTAGCTGCCAAGGAAAAACAAGCAAAGAGCCCAGATCCATTTTCACAGAGCTGGCAAAAAGGGTGAACTTGGAGCTGAGAAGCAATACATGGATAACCAGCACAGTGGGCTTAGCACAAGGAGCCAGGACTCTCAGGTCTCGGCTAGCCTTGCAGACCCTGGGCAGATATATTCCAGCGGGCAATTTGGATATCAGTTTCCTGCCCTTTCATCCACATGGTGGTGCCCTATCTACCCATGCAGTCCAATTCCTGAGCAGATCCATCCCCTCCAGGTTTAAATGAATGATGAACATTTACGGAGAGTTGTTGTTTGGGGAAGACCTGGATCATCTCATTTGATTCTCGTACCTGTTTCCAACCATCCTTCCGGCTGCAGCTGGAGGGATCCTTCTGACACCCACGTACAATCCAGTGTGGCAGACCTTCCTTCTGAGAACCTTCTGTGCTCCAGTCCCTACCCCGAGAGCTGGGGAACTGGGGAGCGAGGCTGACCCAGGCCCGGCCTCAGAACTCAGGGTACTGTGGCCTGTGCTCGGGGAGCTGGAGGAGGCCTTCCTGGAGGAGAGAGTGTCTGAACTGGCTTGGAAGGAGGAGCAGGGGTTCGCTGGGTGTGGGGTGGTGAGGAGGCGGCCGCTGGGCCCTGAGCAGCCCTCTCCCCTCAGGAGCAGCGGTCAGCAGTGTTCGTGGGCCTCTTTGCTCTGGTCACCATCCTCATCCTCTACAGCTCCAGCAGCGCCGAGGTCTTCCGTCATGGCCCCCTGCAGGGCCACAGTCGCCAGCCTGTCAACCTCAAGCAGTGGAGCATCACCGATGGCTATGTCCCCATTCTTGGCAACAAGGTAGGGCAGCCACTCTGGGGAACTGCCTGGTGGCTGCCCTCCCCCTGCCCACCACCACTGCTCCCTCCTCCTCTCTCCACTCTCCATCTCCGATAAAGGAAAGGGCAGGCCCTGGTAGCCACAGCCCTCACTCCCAGTGCTCTCAGCCTCTCTTTGCTGTGTGACTTTGGATAAGTGCCCTGCCCTCTCTGGGCCTCAGTTCTCTACAAGGTTCCACCTTTAGCACTAAATTCCTACTATCTCCTCAGAACCCCTGTGAACAGGTGTGTCTGGTGTTCACTGGTCTCTGTCTCTGCGAGTCCACACAGGGTTTGATAGGACACTGGGGTTCTTGACAAGACAAAAACAGCCCCTGCTCCTGTCACTCTTGATCCCCTGCCCCTATTTGATTTTCTTCCTAGAATATGTCACTTACCACCTGGCATTATTTTATCTTTTACTTGTTCACTGTCTGTCTCCCTGACCAAGAGTTCATGAAGGCAGGAGTGGGGTCCCTTTTGCTGGTTGCTCTGTCCTGAGTACTTGACCATTAGCCAACTTGCTATAAATTTAGGGTGTCCCAAAAAAATGTATACATACACTTTGAATAACTATAAAGGCTAATGTGTTTATTAATACATTTCATTTTCAAAATGGAGCTATCAGCTGTTAAAGTGTGTATACATTTTTTTGGGACACTCTGTTTGTTGACCATTGAATGAAAGGGCTTCAGTTTCTCTGTCTTTAAAATGGGCATAATTATTTTAGCCTCCTGGAGGCCTGAATGTACAGAGTACAGGGAGGGCCTGGAATAGAATGGTTGTAACAGTGTTGACTTTCCTTGTTCCCCCCAGATGCTGCCCTCCAGGTGCCACCAGTGTGTGATTGTCACCAGCTCCAGCCACCTGCTGGGCACCAAGCTGGGTCCCCAGATTGAACGGGCCGAGTGCACAATCCGCATGAATGATGCACCCACTACGGGCTACTCAGCAGATGTGGGCAACAAGACCACCTTCCGCGTGGTGGCCCATTCCAGTGTATACCGTGTGCTGATGAGGCCCCAGGAGTTCCTCAACCGGACCCCCGAAACCGTGTTCATCTTCTGGGGGCCCCCAGACAAGATGCAGAAGCCCTGGGGCAGCCTTGTGGGCACCATCCAGAAGGCAGGCCTGGCGTTCCCCAACCTGGAGGCCTACGCCGTCTCTCCCGGCCGCATGCGCCAATTTGACGACCTCTTCCGGGGTGAGACAGGCAAGGACAGGTACCAGCCTCCTGCCTGCCCCCTCTGGCCACCCCTCTGCTCTTCTTCAGCATGCTTTGCGCAGAGGGCCCTTTGCTCCCAGCTAACACTACTCTTAGGGTGTGGTCACTTCTTGCCAGTCTCTGGTCAGGTTTCCTGGGGGAGTTCTCTTCATGTTTAGCTTTTAGCACAAGTCATTCCAACATGCTCTGCATGGTCCTATCTTCCCAGGAGGGCTTCCTTCCGGCATGCATTGCTCAGAGGGAAGGAGGACTCCCAGCATGCTCTGCTCTGAGGTTGCACAGTCATCTCTAGCATCTTTCTAGGGGAGCTCTCTGTAGTATGCCTCCTGGAAAGTGTTGACTATTCCTGGCACTTCTTGATTTAAGCACACCGTTGCTCCCGGCATGCTCTGTTCTAAGTACACATCATTTCCAGCCCTGTTCTTGAAAAGCTAAGCCAGTGCCACCCAATAGAAATAATAATGCATGCCACATATGTAATTAAAATTTTCATAGTAGCCACATTAAAAAAGTAAAAGGAAACAGATGAAATTATTTTTAATATATTTTATTTAACTCAATACGTCCAACATATAGATCCTGTACATATTTTGTTTGATTTATAACTAAATATTTAAAGTTTTGAGCTAATGTAAATGGTATTTAAAATCTTTTTTGGTTCCCAATTATTCATTGCTAGTATTTAGAAATACAATTTTTGTGTGGTGACCTTATATCTTGTAATCCTGCTAAATTTATTGGTTCTAGGAGATTTTTGTAGATTATTTGGGGATTTTCTGTGTAGATGGTCATGTAATGACATGCAAATAAGGACAGTTTTATTTCTTCCTTTCTAATCCGTATGCCTCATTTCTTTTTCTTGCCTTATTGCTCTGGCTAGGAATTTTCAATACAGTGTTGCATTGTATTGGAAGTGGCAAGAGTAGACATCCTTGCCTTAGTCCAGTCTCAGGCAGAAAGCGTTCAGTCTTTTATCATTGAATCTAAGGTTAGTTATAGGTTTTTGTAGCTGCCTTGTATCAGGTTGAGGAAATTCTCTTCGATTATCCATTTCTTAAGAGTTTTTATCAGTACTGGATATAGAATTTTTTTTCTGCATCAAGTAAGGCTATTTTTAAAAAAGACTAGTTTTTAAAAAAAATACTATTAATATGGTGAATAATTCTGATTGATTTTTAAATGTTGAGTTAGCTTTGCATTTCTGGAATAAACACCAGTTGGTTGTGGTGTATTATTATTTTTGTATGTTACTGGATATGATTTGCTAATACTTCGTTGAGATTTTTGTATCTGTGTACATAAGAGATACTAGTCTGTAGTTTATTTTGTACTATCTTTGCCTAATTTTGATATCAGGGTAATGCTGGCCTCACAAAATGAATTGGGAAATGTTTCCTTTTCTATTTTCCAGAAGAGATTATGTAGAATTGGTGTTATTTCTTCTTTAAATGTTTGATAGAATTTGCCAGTGAAACTCTCTGGGCTTGGAGTGGTCTTATTCTTTTTTTAAAATATGTTTTTATTGATTTTAGAGAGAGAGGAAGGGAGAGAGAGAGAGAAACATTGATGTGAGAGAGAAACATTGATTGGCTGCCTCCTGCATGCCCTCCACTGGGGATTGAGCCTGCAGCCAGGGCATGTGCTCTGACTGGGAATCCAAACCAGTGACCTTTTGGTTCAGGAGACGACTCTCCACCAACTGAGCCACTTTGGCTGGGCTGGAGTGTTCTTTTTCAGATTTTAAACTATGAGTTCAGTTTCCTTAATAGTTACAGGATATTCAGGTTATCTATTTCATCTTGGGTGAGTTTTGGTAGTTTGTGATTTTCAAGAGATTGGCCCATTTCTTCTAAGTTATCATGTATATAGTTTTTTTGTGGTTTTCTTACTCTTTTAAAGTTTACAGGGTCTATGATGATATTCTCTCTTTTATTTTTGATAGTGTTGTGTCTTTTTTCCTTTTTTGTCAGTATTGAGAGAAGTTTATTTTCTTCTAAACTTTTCAAAGAACCATCTTCAACCAAATATATCCAAAATATTTTCAGTTCATCATGTAATCAATATAAAAAATTATCAATGTCATGTTCCACATTCTTTTTTCACACTCTCTAAGAAATCCAGTGTGTATTTTACACTGACAGCAAATCTCAACCACAAGTCAAGTATTCACACATGCCCACATGTGGTCACTCTAGTGGACAGCACAGCTCGAGGCTCTTAGCTACTTCTGTGCCTTGCTCTGAACTTGTCACTGCTAGCATGACTGTCTCTGATTAGTCTCCCTGTAGGAGTTTGCTCCTGGCATGGGCACCACTGCTTCTGGAATGCTCCATTGTCGTGGCCACTCCTGGCCTGCCCAGGTGTGACCAGTCTCCTTGGGAGTTTATTCCCAGCATGTCCTGTTCCTACTTTTTCTCTCAAAGGAGCTCTCTCCACACCCTTCACCTCTATCCAGACAAGCCCTCTGCCAGCAAACTCATGCTCCCCCAGTGGGCTGGACGGTGTGTGTGTGTTGTGTGACTGAAGTGGGGAGAGGGCCCAGTGAGTGGGTGGGAGGAGTTCTGTGAAATGGGGGGGAGTTGACTGTTCCTCCTTGCCTGTCCCGCACTGCCTGCATGCCCCCTCATCACGCTCCCTCTCTGCCCCCAGGGAAAAGTCCCATTCGTGGTTGAGCACAGGCTGGTTCACCATGGTGATTGCGGTGGAGTTGTGTGACCAAGTGCACGTCTATGGCATGGTCCCCCCCGACTACTGCAGGTGAGCCCCTCCAGGACAATGCCCACTCACTGGCCATGGGGTGGAGCTGGGGGCCTGGAAATCTGGTCTGGGTGGCCTTTAAGGGTCTCTATTGATGGTGTTCAGACTGCTCTGCAGAGATATGCAGACTGCTCCTTGGAGCTGCCTCGGGGGCCTCTACCCCATGCTCAGCCAGAGTCCAGAGTTTGCATATTAATAATAACTGTTATTACTACATGAAAAGCCCAAGAGGTGACAGCTGTTCTTCACTGAGTGCTGACCGTGTCCCAGGCATGACTATATTTATCTCATTTGCTCCTCACAGTGATTCTAAGGGGTTGGCATGTCATGCTCCCCATTTCCTAGATGAGAAAAACAGGGTGGGGCCAAGCTCCACAGCCCACAGTTGTTACCTGTCCCCTACTCTGCCATGCTCTTGGGGACAGGAAAAGATCCATTGCATTAAAAAAAAGTTTGGTGGTCACAAACCTAGTCCACACTACATTTTACAGATGGGGAAACTGAGGCCCAGGGAAGGGCAGGGATTTCCTCCACTACGGTCCTACAGCAGGTCAGGGGCTAGAAGGGGCAAGGGCCCCTCCGGTGCCCACTCTGCCCTCACAGCCCCCATCTGCTCTGCCCCAGGAGGCAGCGGTCCCGCCTGCAGAACATGCCCTACCACTACTATGAGCCCAGGGGGCCCGACGAGTGTGTCACCTACATCCAGAACGAGCACAGCCACAGGGGCAACCACCACCGCTTCATCACCGAGAAGAGGGTCTTCTCGTCCTGGGCTCACCTGTATGGGATCACCTTCTCCCACCCCTCCTGGACCTAGGCTGCCCTGCCTGTGAGGCCCTCTTGAGGGACACAGGAGAAGTGGCTCTGGGCCCAGCCACTCCACCAAGGGCCTTCTCTTGGCCAATCAAGGCTGGCCGGAGTGTCTTCTGACCAATAAGGGCCTTGAAGAAGGTGTATCCTCCAGCCAGTCAGGCCTGGGGACATCTCGTGGCCATTCAGGGATTTGGGCTTCTATGTGGTTAATCAGGGGTGTCGGGATTTCTTGTCTAGTCAGGGTCTGAGCATAGTCAATCAGGGTATTTCTGAAAAATGTGAGGCCAAGGATGTGTCCTTTCCCATGAGGCCTTGGTTCAGAGCCCCAGGATCATCCCCAAATCATTTCCTATTGGCTGGGACAATGGGGTCCTCTTCCAAGGACCTGGAAGCTTTGTGTTGCCCCCCCCTCACTTCCCAGAGCCAGAAAGAAAGGTTGCCTGGGGAGTGGGAACTGTCTGGAGGCCAGGCTGGGGCATTTATGGGATTGGAGGGTCCCCGAGGTAGGGGGCCAGTGCCTGGGTCTTGGCTCTGCCCTGAGAGGCCTTGGACAAACCCCTTGTCTGCCTCTCTGGCATCCTGTCCATGTCAGGTCTAATGTGACGTCTTCGACCCCTTCCCACCTCCCCCACTGACTGCCTTGGGTCCATCCTCCGTAACGCTGGACCCCTCCGGCCCCTACCCGTCAGCTCCCTAGGGGCCTGGGGTTCCCTTCCCCACCTCCTGGAGATGAGGGTATTTTTGTGCAAACTCCCAGGTGAGGCTTTCCACTTGTTGGAGGAGACTTTGGGGCTGAGAAATGGGAGGGGGGGGGATCAGCCAAACTGAGGTTTCAAGCAGCTGCTTTGTTTGCAGCTGCTAGAGTCGTCCAAGAGTCTCCCTCCAGCTAGGCCTGGGAAAGCTCTAGGGGTCTGGGAACTGTGTTCCCTGGGTCCTGTCCCCCCTCACTCTTTATCAGGCACTTTATTGCTGGGCCCAGTGGGGTGGGTTGCCCCTGCTCTTCTGGAGCCTGGAAGGGAAGACTAGAGGGCTTCCTGGAGGTGGCTGTGGAATAGGAGGGGCCGGTAGAGGAGGAGGCCGGCAGCAAGCCATTGCACATTGGGGTGGGGGCTGGGGGCTGGTGACTCCCCCAGACTTGGTTTTGTAATGATTTGTACAGGAATAAATGTACCTAAGCAGCAGCTCCATCTCCTATGTCTCCTGATCCAGCCGGGCTCCCTGGGCCAGGGCTCTGGGCCTCCTCGGGAAGTGCCCACACCCTCCAGGTTGGGAGCTCACACATAAGCAGGACAGCCAGCTTTTTCAGCTGACCAGTGAGTCATGCATTTTGCAGCTTGGGTGGAGAGCTGGCGACTCTGGGGGTTGGGGAGGTGTGGGGTTCCCAAGTCAAGCCTGTCTGGCTTTTCCAGTCCTGCCTCCCCCTGCTTCTGTGACCTTGAGCCAGTCACTTCCTCTCTCAGAGCCCCAGTTCCAGGACCACACACTGCTCTCAAGGAGCTCAGGTTCTAGGGAGGGGTGGGGCCCCATGACAGGCTCTGTCCCAGTCAGGCCACCACCAGAAGTAAGGGCTACAAAGACAATAGTAACAGGTGCTATGACGGGCTTTTGAGTAGGTGACATTCTTCTGAGGCCTGGAAGATGGGGGAGAGTCCTGCAGAGGTTGAGGTGAGAGCGTCCAGTGGGGAAAGGGGGGTGGGTGGGAGAGAATAACATGCCTGTCATAGAAAACACCTGGGGGGCACAGGAGAGAGGAGGCCAGGACAGGAGTCAGAGGGAGTGGACAGGGCATGCCATGGGGTCAGAGGTTGGCTCTAGGGCCTGGGGGTGCCGAGAGCACAGAGCTGAAATTTCCTGCAGGGCTCAGCAGGCAGGAGTCAGCTGGGGCTGCAACCCTGGGAGGGTTTGGGGAGCAGGTTAGTGAAAGGCCTTGTTTACAACTCCAGGTTGGCAGGGGAAAGGGGGTCTGTGACTCTAGGAGATTACAACCTGTTTAGGCAGATAAGATGCCCTTGGGAACAGAGGCCTAACAAAGGGTGACTGTGTGAGACAAGGGCAGGCAGCCTGCTGGGGACCGGGAAAGGGCTCTCCCTGGGCACTGGGCCAGCTGGGATGGGGGGCCAGGGAGCTGGGAGGAGAGAAGGGCGCACTGCATCTGACTCTCAACTCACGTAGGCATTCTAGTAAGTAGCTGTGCCGTGCTCTCCATTGGGTGCGATTGAAGAGGGAGGGGATGGCAGGCGGGAAGCATGGTCCAAGCAATAGCCCAGTGGTGGGGCCCACAGCCCCTCTGAGTAGGCAGGAGGCGGGAGCAGTGGGAGATGAGGCTCTTGGGGCCAGATGGCAAGCCACGAGTGCCAGCTCGAGTGGGCAAGGCTTGATCCCTCTGACTTGGAGAGGTCATCCTTGCTTGGACAGCAGCGGGACAGGCAGGAGGCTGGGATGTCACTGGGCCCACGGCCTGAGCCCACCAGACACCATGGTAGTGGTGGTGGTAGGCGTGTCGGAGGGTCAGGGACTCCTTGCAAAGTCATTATGTGGGGAGCCTAAGGCCCTGCATGGGGATGGAGATATGGAATTCTGTACACGCTAGCCCTGCGCAAAGGCTTCTGGGAATCTGCCTGCCCACTGGCAGACACAAAGGGAGACCCAGGAGTGCGCCAAAAGGAGGCGGTTGCTAGCGGTTGGTTTAGCATCAGGAGGTAAGAACTTCGGTGGAGGATGCTGGGGGCAGGAGGCCTGGGGCCTAGCCCTCAACCCCGCAAACTCATCCCCGCAGAGGGGACCCTCGGAGGCTGGCGTGCTCACTGTCACTTATCTTCCTGAGCCCGCCTCCTCTCAGTCCTTTTTTGCTCTGAAAGCACCTGCTCCCTGCTGTGGCCAAGATGAACCCACTTTCTCATTTAGGGTTCAGAACCCCCCTGCACTCCTTTGTATCCCTGTCACCTCTGTGAGCGCCCCCCTCCCTGGGGTTGGGGGCATCTCCCACCAGCTGCAAACCCAGCGTGTGCTTCCCGGAGCCACCACTCCAGCTGTTCCCTGCGATGCTCAGCAGTCCGGCCAGGCCCAGCTGGGGCAGCCCTGCCACCGCCACCATGTGCTGTGAACCTTGGAGTTCAGTCCCCAATGCTGGCTCATTTTCAAGCCTGGGAATTCTTTCTTTAACCAGAATATTTTAAAAATGTTTTTTAAAATTGGTTTTATTTTATATGGTTATGTTTTTAGGTATTTTTTTATGTTATAATTTAAGCCATACAAATGATACAAGATAAAAAGTGAGGGCATCACCCAGTCCTACTCCCTGTTAACAGTTTAGGGTATAACCTTCCAGGTTTTATCTCCTTGCAGTTTTTTGCCTTTCCCTCCCTCCCTTTCTTCCTTCCCTCCTTCATCTCTCTGCAGTTTTTCTTTCTTTAGGTTATAGCTGAGAAAAAAATTCCTGAAACTTTAATATTCCAGGATTGGTGGGAAATCCATAGGTCATATGCAAATGAAATAATTAAAACAGGTACTGAAAATATTTCCCCCCCCGTTTTTACAATTTTTGAATTTATTTTTTTTATTGTGGCAAAAAACACACAAGCTTGACCAGTCAACCATTTTTAAGAGTACAGTTCAGTAGTGTTAAGTATGTGCGCATTTTCATGAAACAGATCTCCAGAGCTTTTTTATCTTGCAGATCTGAAGCTCTGTGTCCATTAAACAGCAGCTCCCATTTCCCCTGCCCTCAGCCCTTGGGAACCTCATTCTACTTCCCTTTTCTATGAGTTAGTAAGTTTGACTACTTCAGATACCTCATGCGAGTGGAATCATACAGTGTTTGTCTTTTTGTGACTGGCTTATTTCATTTAGCATAATGTCCTCAAGGTACATCTGTGTTAAAAGTGTTTTATATATAAAATAATAGATGCTTGTTGTAAAAAAAAAAAAAAGCATGAGCACCTCCCCCCCTCAGTTCTGCTTCATTGCATCACCTTTAAGATGCCTTCGATTTGATCATAAGACAACACAACCTCAGAAATGTTAAAATGCAAAGAGGAGACACTGAGGAATGGATTTCACACACACGCCCCTGCGTGTTTAGAATTGTTGAAGGTGGGTAAGATCGGAGCTGCTGGGCTGTTTGCCTGTTTCTCTTGCCCCGACCCCACCAGCCACACAGACCCCCGGCTTCCTTTCTCAAGCCCACTCTAGGGCAGTCTCCACTCCGCACCTGCCTGGCTGCGCCTCCGTCCCCCCCATCAGCTGGTCCCCACTGGCACGAGAGAATCATCCCACAGTCGGTGTCCACATGGGATTCCCAGAGGTGAAGAGCACATCTGAAGTTTTAAGTGATTTCATCAATTTGCTTTTCCAAGAGGTCACACCAATGCCCACAGCCACCTACAGCTTTTGAGAGGGCCTTTCAAACAACTTCTAAGGCCGACCCTCTGACCCAGCACCTGCCCCTCCCACAGATGGGAAAACTAAGGTCACAAGGAGTAAGGACTTGTCTGATGTCGCAGGTGGCAGAGCTGGGTCTAGATGCAGGCCTCTTGGTGCCTAGGCTGCTGTTGTTGCTAAGAAACTACCCACCTAAAGTGGTCTCACTCTCTGGGTAGTCTCACTCTCTCGCTCAAACATCTTCCATGGCTCCCTAGTGCCTACAAGACAAATTCTAAATTTAACCCGCCCCGCCACCTAGGGCTGCTCCTTGAAGGTTGTGGTGTGGTCTGAAGCTGCATGGTCCTGGTCTCTGCTACATTATTGAGCATATTGCTGTATGTTGGTCTCCATGGACAAACACATCACTTTCTACCTGGGAATGCCAGGCAAGCTGTTTTACAGGTGTGACCCCACTTTCCTCCACGTTCAGGATTCACAGACATGGCCCCAGTCCGAGTTTTTTCTGCCCAGCTCCTGGCCCACGGGGAATGCTCCTTATTGGGAGCTGCTCTTATCAGGTCCATGGGCCCCCCCTCTGAGTACAGAGCTCTGAATGGCCCACGTCCTCCTAGGCTTAGCTGGGAGTTGCCTGGCAGCTCCATGGGGGCAGGGTTTTTTAAAATAATCTATCCAATCACCAGCTGGGGTCCTGGGGAGTTTCAGTCCCAGAGGAGTTCTTGGAACCCCTTCCCAAAAGGGAGGAGGAATTCCAGGGGGGTCTGCGCAGGATCTGGGGGACTGGTCCCGCCAGCGAAGCCCCCAGAACCCGTGCCTCAGTCCTCTCCCTCCCTGGTCTGGCCTCTCCCTGCTACCGATTTGCTGCGGGATGTTGTTCAAGGGCCGCTCTTCTCTGGGCCTCAGTTTACCCAGCTGTCACATGGGAAGCCTAGTCCCGACCCCTGGAGTGGTGAGGGCAAGTGGAGGTACTGCAGGAACGGAAAACCCTCGGGGACAGTAAAAATGCGTGAGCCTGAGCGTGAGCAGGCCTGGGGGCGTGCGGCGCAGGCTCCCGTGGGCTCTGCCCCGTCC